CTTTATAGTGTATTATAAATGTAACATGCTAAAGTAAATCCAAGAATAGAAGATCAAAATAAAAAATAGTTCTCTTAAATGATTTGAACACTCTTTTAATCAATACAATTATTATTGGTAGAAATTAGGTATGATAATAAAATGCTATTTTAAGCTTTGTTTTTCTGAACACTGTAAAGCTTTGTTTATAATAATATATAGATTGATTTTCTTAACACAATTTTACAAAAAATAAGAGAATAATGATAGTTTTTTAACGATGACACACCTTCAACCTTAATTTTGGTAATATATTATTTAAAATGAATATTTAATAATCTTCAATTTTCTTTCTGCTTTAGTTCATTCTCTAAAATGAAACTGCCTTTTGATTTTAATAATGATCTCAGATCATATCCTTTATAATCTATTAACTCTCCTTCAAAGATTAAAGCTCCTTCAGCTTCTAAAATTGGATTTTGACAAATTCTAAAAATTGTGCGATCATATTTAACTATAAATAGTAAAAATAAATACCATTTTATTAATTGGATGGACTTTAATGTGGCATGTTAAGTGATGCAAGAAGATCGTTGTGACATAACTCTTTAGGAAGAATCCCTTTTGTTGATTTTACATCCCATAAACGAATAGACCTATCATAACTACCAGATGCTAATGTAGTACCATCAGGAGAGAAACTGACTGAATTAACACAGTCTGAATGGCCATCCAATTTAGTTTTTTATTATCCTGTCTTAACATCCCATAAACGAATAGACCTATCATAACTACCAGATGCTAATGTAGTACCATCAGGAGAGAAATTGACCGAATAAACAGGTTAAGAATGGCCATCCAATTTGGCTTTTTATTATCCTGTCTTAACATCCCATAAACGAATAGACCTATCATAACTACCAGATGCTAATGTAGTACCATCAGGAGAGAAATTGACTGAATTAACAGAGTCTGAATGACCCTCTAATTTAGCTTTTTATTATCCAGTCTTAACATCCCATAAAAGGATAGAATTATTTGAAGTACGAGATGCTAATGTAGTGCCATCAGGAGAGAAATTGACGGAATAAACAGCTGAGGATTGGCCATCTAATTTGGCTTTTTATTATCCTGTCTTAACATCCCATAAACGAATTGACCTATCATAACTACCAGATGCTAATGTAGTACCATCAGGAGAGAAATTGACTGAATTAACACCGTCTGAATGACCTTCTAATTTAGCTTTTTATTATCCTGTCTTAACATCCCATAAACAGATAGATTTATCTCCACTACCAGATGCCAATGTAGTACCATCAGGAGGGTTTGGGTTTGGGGTTTGGGGTTTGGGGTTGGGTTTGGGTTTGGGTTTGGGTTTGGGTTTGGGGTTGGGGTTGGGGTTGGGTAGTGAC